GGACTGCAGCGTCAGGGACCCCCAGCCGCAGAGGGATGCTGGGGTGCCGAGCCCGCTGCGGGATGGAGCCTTGCTGGGAAACAGAGACCCCCAGAGAGGGGCACAGCTGGAGGGAAGGGGGCTTTTCCCAGGGCGGCCGGAGGGAGCAGGGGCACAGAGCTGGGTGTGAACTTTCAGACGCGGTGAGGACTCCGTACCTCGGCATCCTTGGTCTGGGGGAAGTAAATGAAATATGGCTGGGGGCCCCCTGGCTCCTCCCCCCCGCTGCACTGCTGCCACTCGTAGAAGCCGTCTGCCAGGACCACACAGCGCTTGCCCTTGAGCAGAGCACCCTGGGGCAGAGGAAACACAAGCGAGCCATGAACAGTGGCTCTGGTTTTGCTAAATGCAAGATCTCCTCAGGCTGGCCAGGAAGGGGGCAGCAACCCACCTTGTAGGAGGACTTCTTCAGCATGGTATCGCTGCGGCAGTTGGAGGTGTTAAACTGCATTTTGGAGGGGTCGTCCTTTTTGAACCAGGAGGGAACCAGGCCCCAGCGCATGTCCATGAGGACCCGCTCAGAGGAGTCGGCATCCTTTCGCACGAGACAGAGAAACACCTCGGCTCAGCGCCACGTCACAGGGACCACGAGCACGCCCGCAGTCTGCGAGAGGGGCTTCGCAGAGCCCTGCGACAGCAGCTGCTGCCCCTGCAAGGGGGAACCAGGCCAGCGTCTCTGCCCAGAGCTCAGCTGGGGCTCGCCGCCCCTCCAGCACCAAATCCGCCCCTGCTCTTCCGCAGGGATGCCACTCACAAGCTGTGCAGAAATAGCCACTAATTATAACCCTTTGCATATTCTTAACGGCTTTCCTGTAAGAATTAACCTTCAGCAGAAAGCACAAGAATATTTTGCAGGAACAAATAACTACTAAATAGTCTCAGTGAGGCCCGGCCGACGACTCTCCACAGGAACGAGCGCAGTTCTGCAACGGGAAGCGCCCGGGCACACGAGCTGCCCAGTCCTCACGCACCCGCTCACGGCGGGCTGGCCTCAAGGTCCTCAGAACACTCAGCGTGAGCGTCCCACAGGGTGTAAGCCTCACCTGCACTTCAATAATGTGGTTTCTGCTGACCTGGCTCACTTTCACTCCTGCGCTTTGCATGTCATCTGCCTCCGGACAAGGGGAACGGCTTGCGGCTTTCACTTCTCCCCCAGCCGACTCTCGCTCTCTGCCCGCAGCCGCCGGCCCAGGCAGCGCACACCTGGGGCGAGCGAGGCCCTGGGGGGATTCGCCTCCACCGCAGTAGGTATGTGTATAGCTACCTACTAGAGGAGCATATACACAGGCACATGTATGTGCCCAGCTTGGTGAAGTCTTCCAGAGTCTCCCATGGACGAGGAGCGGCGAAAAGGGGCAACTGGCACCGCAGCTGTGTCCCAACAGCTTGAACAGAGACGAGCGACCGAGCGGGCATTGGCATCGCGCTCCCAGCCCCGCTCCCCTCTGCCCCAGCAGCCTGGCCGTGGATCTCGGGGGGACGCGGGGCCCCACGGCACGCAAGGAGGGAAAGA